ATGCATGATTAGAATCAAGCTTTCTCCATACAGATACATGACTCGAGTAAGACCGTAGATGTTACTGGGAATGGAGCCCGTAAAAGCGCTGTATGAAAGAGACCTGTGTGTGCGTGGTTGGGGCGGAATAAGTGAGCAAATGAGAATGGAGGGCATTTACTAAGGGACAACAAGTACACAGGGATGACCCAATTGGGCGATGAGATGAGCATGGTGGGAAGTAGGGATGAGCAATATAACGAACTCCTGTTCGGTTCGCCTCGAACACGTTCGAGGCGAACCGAACAGGATTTTTTTTTGGCCTAAATTGTTCGGGGCGAACGTGTTCGATGTTCGCCCGAACACGTTCGCCGTTCGCCCGGCACAGCTGGCCGAGGCGCGTTGAACACGAACGTGTTCGTGTTCGACACGGGCCTTCGACAAACACCAATGTGTTCGTCGACGAATAGGCCCGCGACCAATTTTTAGGTCACGGGCCTTGGTGTTTGGGCTCAGATTTGGCATTTCGCCGTTACTTCAGTGCAGGTCTAGCACTACGCCGTCAGTGAAGAGCAGATCGAGCATTTCGCCGTTACTTAAGTGCAGATTTAGCATTTCGCCGTTGCTTAAGTGCAGATCGAGCATTTCGCCGTTGCTTAAGTGCAGATCGAGCATTTCGCCGTTGCTTAAGTGCTGATCTAGCATTTCGCCGTCACACGCTGGCACTAGCATGGATGAAGCAGGGCGGGACTGGCTTGGGGGGTGGGGGGAGGGAATGTGCAACGATTTGAATTTTACTCTATTTGGACCTTACAGCCACCTAACAAATGTCAACAATGCACAATCCACAAACGTGTGACTTTAGTGAATGTAGTCCCGGGGCGAACAGGAACGTGTTTGCCACGAACACGTTCGTGTTCGCCTGCGTCAACAAGATGTTCGCCTTCACAGGCGAACGGCGAACACCCTTTTTTGGGGAAGTCGTTCGGCGAACCGAACACAGTTCGGTTTGCCGAACGGCGGTGTTCGTGTAGGGGCGAACGCGAACACGTTTGTGTTCGCCTCTTGCTTATCCCTAGTGGGAAGTAGCAGGATAAAAAGGCGAACTCAAACTAGCTGGTCTCGAACTCGCTCGACTGACTGTATTTGTATTACCTGAACTGTACCTGTTCGGTTTGGTTCGAACTAGTTTTTGCAAAAGCAGGGTTTAGGGTTCGACTGCACAATCAGACTCCATTGAGTCTGGTTCGAACGTGTTTGACCCGAACCCAGATGTGTTTGGATTTGAGTGACCATTCGTCATAAGTACGTTCAATCTCACACACTTCTTGCTTTCCACTCGAATTTGATTCAGCACAGCCGTTGTTTACTACCCGAACCCGGTTAGCGAAATCTGTCCCTCCTCCTCAAGATCAATTCCGCGGAACCTTGTAACATAACGTCCCATGCTCACATCACCTTCCCCTCCCAGTCCCCCACTCAGCTTGAGCAGGCAGTCAAACAAATGTTCAACTGAACATGCCTGTGTTCGACCGAACCTTAAACCCTAAACCCTTAATCCTAACCCATTGTTGGTGAACACCGAACACCTCCTTCACCAATTTGTGTTTAACCGAACAGAAACATGTACGGTTCGCCAAAAAACGAGTGTTTGAGGCAAGGTGAACACAAAAATATTCGTGTTTGCCTTTTGCTCATACCTACATTGAAGGTGTTCACCTATAGGCGAACACCCCAACACCTCACGCCGCTGAAAGTTCGAGGCATTTTCGACCCGAACACGTTCGTGTTGGAGTTTTGCTCATGTCTATTTCTCACGATTCTCCTAACTCCTGGTTTCAACAATATAACCCTACCCAAAAATAGTCCTTCCCTTAGTTTTCTTAGCGCTTTTTTAAGTGAGCATGTTTTGGCAAAACATGTCCGTGCTTGCATTTTCAGATGTCTTCGTTATAATCACGTCAGCCAATTTAGTGGGGTTCGGCGTCCCTGGTGGCGGTGTTGGACCTGGGCGTTTGGGATCGTATGAAAGTAGTAGCAAACATTAAATGTGAATGGCACCAAACCTAAAACTAGCTTAAGATGGAAGAAAGAGGTTGCGCCACCCCGAATAGTTAAAGTTTAAGAAAAGACTAGGGCTGGCGCTAAGGGTCTAGGCTCTGCTAGGTGTCTTAGCCTGAAATCAAACTCAGGAATGAGGGCGACAAAGTTAAAGCGTCGACCCAAAAAACGGGTCGCGGGACCTTTCGGGCGTCCGAAGAGTCCGGCGAACACAAACATGTTCGTGTTCACCGCGGCTCGGTAAGCCGTGAAGAACCAAGCACGAACGTGTTCAGGCGAGCACGAACATGTTTGCCCCGAACACTTAAGGCCAAGAAGGCGAACCGAGCACATGTTCGCCAGGATGCTCAGACCTACTCTCGAGGTCATGTGATTTTTTTACCATGCATGCTTAGCACCAGGCTCAAAGGAGGAGATTCCTACAGATAATAGAGCTGAGAAAGCAAGAAGATGCTACTGGGAATAGATCCCGTCAAACCGGTGTTTGAAAAAGACCTGTGTTTGCATGGTATGGGTAAGGGAGGAAAAACAAAGGAGACGAGATTAGAGAGCATGGACCGAATGACAGCAAGCACACACGGTTGACCCAATTGGTAGATGAGAGACGAGCATGGTGGGAGGTAGCCATGACTAAAAGACAATTGGAAATGGTTCAAGTCGCACACCCAGTTGGGAAAATCTGTTGTTCTCGTCCAACTATGGCTGGGAGGGGGATGGCCAGGAAGAGTTGCGGAAACTTTAGCCGGACTTGGCTGCGCATGGCCACAAACGATTTGATTTATCCAAACTCCTTGATTTATTGCTTGCATGTGGCATGTAGGTTATGTAACTACTGATATTCTCTCAAGGGTTTTTTAATATACTATAAATTTCAAATACTCAGAATGCCATTGTACTTCAACAATAGACTTATAATGAAGTGCCTTGATCTTGCATGTGTAGCACCGGGCTGAAACAAGGTGCTTCACACAGATAATTGAGCTGAGCAAGGTCAGAGATGCTGTTGGGAATGGAGCCCTTCAATTTGTTGTGTGAAAGAGACCTGTGTGTGCGTGGTATGGGTTGGAGGGGAAGTGAGAAGATGAGAATAGTGGGCGGGGAGTGAGGGACAGCAAGCAAACAAGATCGACCCGATTGGGAGATTACACTAGCATGGTGGATGGGAGGTAGGCATGCATGAGCAATAGGCGAGCTCAAACTAGTTTGTCTTAAACTCACTTGAATATTTGTATTACCCAAATCGAACACGTTCGCATAAGCATTCCCTCCTCCTTGAGGTCAATTCCATGAAACCTTCTAGCCTAACTCCTTTGCTCACATCACCTTCCCTCCCAATCCCCACATATCCTCGTAATTTCTAATTTTGGCAATCTAACCTAGGCCTGTGCATCCAGGAAAACACCAACATGTTTGTGTTTGCCGGACACTTGCGGACGAACACAAATGTGTTCGCCCGAAAGGTCTCGCGACCCCTTTTTTTGGTCGACGGTTTCACTTTGTCAACCTCAATTTCTAGATTGATTTCAGGCTAAGACACCCACCACAGCGTAGACCCTTAGTGCCAAGCCTAATATTTCCTTTAACACTAATTATCTGGGTAAGCGCAACCTTTTTCTCCTATCTCAGACTATTTTAGGTTTGGCGCAATTGACATTTAGGGCGTGTTAGGGAAGAACAAGTAGGAACGCCCACTATACACACAAACCAACAATCCCAAACGCCCGCCAGGTCTAACACCGCAACCAGGAACGCTGAAACCCACTAAACTGGTTGATGTGATTTTAACGAAGACTGAAAATGCGAGCACCAACATGTTCGCCTACATCACAAAAATCCTGCGTTCGGAAAGCCGATGAAAAGAGTTGCTTTGGAGCTTTGTCGAATGATTTATAAACGTACTGTTTCGAACGCTTTTTTGAGAAAGTATAGGGCGCTTTCCAAATGATTTGTCGAACGCTTTCCAAATGCTTCTGCAATGCTTCTCGGTTCAAACCTACCAGGTGAAAACATTTGGCAGAAGTTTGGTTCGAGTTTCCGCAGAGCAATTTCGGAGATCGGATATCATTGCAATGTACTCTTTATGGGCTTTGAGTTTCATTATAATAAGCTTAGATTAGAGACTTGTAAGACGTTACATGTTGTTTACAAATATGTTTAGTTGCCTTATCCTTGCATTCAAAATAAACATAACAGAAGCTTAGGTAAAATCATATTATTCACACCTAAACATGCACATAAAACAGCCTCCTAAACCCACCCTGTCTAGTCAAACATACCGCTAGTTAGGTTGATATGCATCATCCTACTACCTGCTTCTCATGCTCCCGTACACTATGTCTCCCACTCCGCCCCAACTCTCGTGCTCTAGGCCGAGCGTGCCCCTGCGTCCTCGCATGTTCTACCCTCTCATGCGTCAGCTGCTCCGCCCCTGGCGCTCTCCAGTCATGCCTTTACTGCTCCTTGCTTTGTCCTCTCCATCCATGCCTAACCCGCTGCCCCCCTTGCGCCACTACCGTCTTTAATGCTGCCCCCCTTTCTCTATCCGCTCGTGCCTTTTCTGCTGTCCCCCTAGCTCTCTCCACTCATGCCTGTTCTGCTGCACCCCCTTGCTTTCTCCTCCAGTTGCCTCGCCGGTTGCCCCCCCTTGCACACTCCTCACATTGCATCTCTTGCTGCCCCCCATGCTGACTCCACTCTTTTGTCTCTCGCTGCCCCCCATGCTGACTCCACTCTTTTGCCTCTCTTGCTGCCCCCCATGCTGACTCCACTCTTTTGCCTCGCCTGCTGCCCCCCATGCTGACTCCACTCTTTTGCCTCGCCTGCTGCCCCCCATGCTGACTCCACTCTTTTGCCTCGCCTGCTGCCCCCCATGCTGACTCCACCAATGCCTCTACATCCGTATTGATGTCTCCTCGCAAGTATGTGCTGCCTCTCCTGCTGCTCCCCTTTGTAAACTCCACTCATGCCTCATCTGCTGCCCCCCTTGTCTTGTCACCCCACCTCTTGGCCCTCTTGCCTCCCCTTCTTTTGCCACTCTTGTGTCTTTTGCCCTTCCTCCGCCCCTGACCCCCCTGCTTCTCATCCTCATCCTCATCATCTTCCTCCTCTTCCTCCTCTTCCTCCTCTTCCTCTTCCCTCCTGCCTCCCTTGCCTCTGCCTCTCTTGTGCGTTCTGCCCTTCCTCCGCTCACGCCCCCCCTGTTTCTCATCATCCTGCCCCTCCTCTTCCTCCTCCTCTTCCTCTTTCTCTTCCCTCCTGCCTCCCCTGATTTTCCCTCTCTTCTGCCTTCTGCCCTTCCTAAGCCCTTGCCCCCCCCGTTTCTCATCCTCCTCCTCCTCCTCCTCTTCCTCCTCCTCCTCTTCCTCATCCCTCTTGCCTCCCCTGCTTTTGCATCTCTTGTGCCTTTTGCTCTGCCTCCGCTCCTGCCCCCACTGTTTCTCCTCCTCCTCCTCCTCCTCGTCCTCCTCCTCCTCCTCCTCCTCGTCCTCCTCCTCCTCCTCCTCCTCGTCCTCCTCCTCATCGTCATCCGTCTCCATGTCCTCCGCGTCGTACACCTCCTGCTCTTCCTCCTTCAGGTCCTTCCTCTCCTCATCAGGCTCGGCCGTCCCCCGGAACGCCTCGAATCCTGACTCGTGAACATACAGCCCACGGTCGCCCCACTTGAAGCCCTGCACGTCTGTGTTGTACACGGGGGTGTGGCATCTAAAGTGGTCTTTGACGATCCACCGCACATTACGGTGCAAACCCGTCATCCATTCAGTGTTTTTCCGGTGGGAGTTGGAGACGTTCAAGTCAGTCTTCGTAACCTTTGCCAAGCCCTGGTCTATCTGAAAAAGCATACAAGGTATGGGAAGGAGGGGAAACAGAGACTTCAGTGGACACTCGCGTGCAGAGTTTACGGGCTGCGCAAATAGCCCCACATACCATGCCGGCGGGCTAGTAGAGCATGCCAAGCTAGAGCATACTGACAGTTGAGCAATAATGTCTTACCAGCATGATTGACCAGGCTATGTGGTAGGCTTTGACGCACACCCGGCGCCCGACACAGAGATTCCGAAATGATTCCCGGACCGCATCTACAAATCGGCCGTTGGCGAACGGGAGCCCTTCTCTGTTGTTCCCCCACGAGCTGACCCGCTGATTCCTTCCTGCGCGCACGCATGACAATGCGGGGCAGCATGTGACATGCGTGATCATGCATGACATGGTTTAGGGTTGTCCATAGGGTATGGATGAAGGGGAGGGCGGTATAGAATGAATGGAGGGAGGGCGGGTGTGAGGATCTGGTTCAGGAAAGATGATTCTATTGAATGATTCACCTGGGTACAAGACGAGGCTATATATAGGCTCGACACAAGGCCAGTTACCCAGGTGTTACGCGAATGTTCTGAGGGTCGCGAAGCGTCCCGAACAGAACCTTCCCGAACTCAGTAGAAAGCAATTCGGTGGAAACCGAATAGGCTTGAGTTCGGTACACGTAACCTGGTTCGGTACTATAACTATAATAACATATAGGAATGCACCTAACCTAGGAAATCGAGCATATCTATGCATGATAAATAAAACCTAAGCTAGTAATAGCATAGTAAAGTTAAGGCAAGCTAGCAAAGCCAGCATAAGCCGTCGTACTCTCACACGTCCCCCCCTCAAAGCTGGGTGGCGTGAGAAACACCCTGCTTGACAAGATAGTCCTTGAGAGCACGGCGTGCGTTGCCCATATCAGCTTCTGCAACCCAACTGTCCTCCGACGGGTCGTATCCCTTCCAGCGTATCAGGAACTCGAGCGTGTTGCCGCGTCTGCGTCGATGAGCGAGCACTCGTTCCACCTCGTACTCTGGTTCATCCTGTACGAGAACAGGTGGTGGTGGCGGTAGCTGGCGTCCCTTGAACTGTTGGTTGGGGTCCTTGTAGGGCTTCAGTAGCTGAACATGGAAAGCATTGTGAAGCTTCCAAGTAGTAGGTAAGCGCAAGTGGAATGCTACTAGTGTCACCTGTGCCTCAACGTGAAAAGGACCACAGAAGCGAGGCCGGAGCTTGGATGGTAGGTGAGACAGGTTCAAGTTGCGCGTGTCGAGAAGCACCTGATCTCCGACTGCTACGGTGTGATCACGTCGATGGCGATCGGCATACTGCTTCTGGGAGTTCTGCATCGTGGAAAGACGTCGCTGAGTCTTCTCCCATAGCTGCTGCATGGTGGTGACGAAGTCATGTGCGGCTTGGACGTGTGCCGGTGTGGTTGGCTGCTGTGGTGTAAGTGGTTCCCGTCCGTAGCATAGGAAGAAAGGAGTTTTCCCTGTGGCCGCATGTGAAGCGTTGTTGTAAGCGAACTCTAGTATCGGTAACTGTGAATCCCAGTGGCTGACGTCGTCTTTGCAAGCGGTGCGCATTAACTGTTCAACCACCTGATTGAGTCACTCTGTCTGTCCGTCAGTCTGGGGGTCGTATGCTGAAGACACCACCACCGGCACCATGAACAGGTGCTCTGGAAGAGCTAGGGGAGAGATGGGAGAGAGGGGGGAGGGAGAGGATGGATAACTGCTATGCTTAGCTATCACTCCGCCGCATGACACCCACACCACCACCAGCACCATGAACAGGTGCTCTGGTTGAGGTAGGGGAGGGATGGGAGAGAGGGGGGAGGGAGAGGAAGGATAACTGCTACGGTGAGCTATCCCTGCGCCGCGTGCCACCCACACCAACAACAGCACCAGGAACAGGTGCTCTGGAAGAGCTAGGGGAGGGATGGGAGAGAGGGTGCAGGGAGGGGAAGGATAGCTGCTATGGTGAGCTATCACTCCGCCGCGTGCCACACACACCACCACCGGCACCATGAACAGGTGCTCTGGAAGAGCTAGGGGAGGGATGGGAGAGAGGGTGCAGGGAGGGGAAGGATAGCTGCTATGGTGAGCTATCACTCCGCTGCGTGCCACACACACCACCACCGGCACCATGAACAGGTGCTCTGGAAGAGCTAGGGGAGGGATGGGAGAGAGGGTGCAGGGAGGGGAAGGATAGCTGCTATGGTGAGCTATCACTCCGCCGCGTGCCACACACACCACCACCGGCACCATGAACAGGTGCTCTGGAAGAGCTAGGGGAGGGATGGGAGAGAGGGTGCAGGGAGGGGAAGGATAGCTGCTATGGTGAGCTATCACTCCGCCGCGTGCCACACACACCACCACCGGCACCATGAACAGGTGCTCTGGAAGAGCTAGGGGAGGGATGGGAGAGAGGGTGCAGGGAGGGGAAGGATAGCTGCTATGGTGAGCTATCACTCCGCCGTGTGCCACACACACCACCACCGGCACCATGAACAGGTGCTCTGGAAGAGCTAGGGGAGGGATGGGAGAGAGGGTGCAGGGAGGGAAAGGATAGCTGCTATGGTGAGCTATCACTCCGCCGCGTGCCACACACACCACCACCAGCACCATGAACAGGAGCTCTGGTTGAGGTAGGGGAGTGATGGTAGAGTGAGAGGGGAGAGAGAGGGGATAAAATAGTCAGAGCGAAAGACGGGAGAGGAGGCAGAGTGAGAGAGCACCGTACGCCCAGCGCCAGGGTTCATGTTCTCCTCGTACGGGGAGTCTCAACTTCCACTGCAGCCACCCCACTGCACGCTGCGCCGCATGCCACACGCGTGACCAGCAGCACCTTTTACAGTGGCTCTGGAAGAGGAGGGAGAGGGACGGGATAGAGAGGGGAGGGAGGAGCGGCCGAAAGAAAGGGGGTCGCGTGGGGTTGACGGATACGGCTTCCTCTATACCTGCGCCGCGTGCCACCCACACCACCACCAGCACCAGGAACAGGTGATCTGGAAGAGCTAGGGGAGAGATGGGAGAGAGGGGGGAGGGAGAGGAAGGATAGCTGCTATGGTGAGCTAGGGGGGCGGGGGCAGAGTGTGAGAGCATCGTACGCCCAGCGCCACCTCCTTGAAGCGAGGCGTACTGGGAATGCCTATCCCACAGCAGACATGCCGCTATCACTGCGCATAATGCCACCAACACGCTGACCAGGAGCAAGAGGTGGGGGAAACGAGGGGGGGAGAGAGAGAGCTGCAGCTATCACTGAGCCCCATGCCACACATTGTTTAACACTAAAACAATCTCACCTTCAGCAGCTTGGGTGTGGGCATCCCACGCGTTCGACGGACCGGTACGTCTACCGTCGATGGGCTTTCTGGCGCCACGCCTGGATCGAGGCCCCCTGCAGATGGGCCGCTCGACAGAGACGCTAGAGGAGGAGGCCTAGATGGAGGGTTGCAGGGCTTGACAGGTCCTTTTGATCCTGGCCTTGCCTTGAGTGCCGCGATTTCGCGATCCCGCTGGGCAAGCTCTCGCATGAGCTGCTCCACAGTTCTGCCGCCAGCCACATCCGGCCGACTGGATGCGCCAGGTGTACCCATGCTCTCTCCCCTCCCCTCCTTAGTCGCCGGATCCATTTTCGCGTCTCCTCCTTCTCCCCTGCTCTCCCGTACATCCCACATGGAGCCTTCCACACCGCCGCCACATTCACCCAAGGCATTCGCCCACACACCTCCTCCCACACCGTCATTCGCTGCTGCAGTGGCCGAGGGTTCGTGCCGCTTCGTTGCCCCCTCGATTTTCACATGAACCGCGTGACCCCCCGTATGCTTGGGGGGCGGGTCCGTCGCTTCCCTGCCAAACCGCACTGACCCCCAAGCCATCGGATCTCCCTTCCCAGCCGAACCCATCGGCTCGCGTAACGCAGCGTACGGGTCCGCGGCTTGCCGATCATGAGAGCTTGATGGACATCGTAGCCCCATGGACTCGTAAAAATTCAACTCCCGCTTCGCCTTGCTACGCACACCCACAATTTTAGCTTCGAATCGAGGTCTCTGGCGCTTGCCATGTGGTTTGGCACGACGCACACTCTGTTTACAGCTCTTCACCCGTCCCCTCTCCGATTTTCGCTTTCCGTTGCCCTTCTTGAGCTTCCGCACACTCCTCCTCTTCAAAGGCCGAGCCTCCTCCCCATCCTCGCTCTCCGGCTCCAACTCCTCATCCTCCTCGTCCTCCTCCTCCTCATCCTCGTCCTCGTATACCTCCTCACTCCCGGATGAGCTGCCCGACTCACTGTCGCTCGAATCTTCCTCGGAACCAGACGAGCTCGAAACGAGCACATTGGGGCCGTGCCGAGCTTGTCTCGCCTTACGGTCGCGACTGCCCGGATCCACAGCATTGCGCCATTTGTACGGAATCACAGCTTCACGTCCATCTTCTTTCCCATCAGCCACCGCTGCTGGCTCGTCCTCATCACGAGCTTCAGGCTCGGCATGATCCCCCTCGTCGCCACCTCGGCATGATCCCCCTCGTCGCCACCATCCGCATCCTGCGCCTGCCTGCCCGAGGGACTGCCCTTAGCCGCGGCAGCCCTGCCGCCGTTGCGCTTTCCGCCACCACGAGCTTCAGGCTCGGCATGATCCCCCTCGTCGCCACCATCCGCATCCTGCGCCTGCCTGCCCGAGGGACCGCCCTTAGCCGCGGCAGCCCTGCCGCCATTGCGCTTTCCGCCACCACGAGCTTCAGGCTCGGCATGATCCCCCTCGTCGCCACCATCCGCATCCTGCGCCTGCCTGCCCGAGGGACCGCCCTTAGCCGCGGCAGCCCTGCCGCCATTGCGCTTTCCGCCACCACGAGCTTCAGGCTCGGCATGATCCCCCTCGTCGCCACCATCCGCATCCTGCGCCTGCCTGCCCGAAGGACCGCCCTTAGCCGCGGCAGCCCTGACTCCGTTGCGCTCTCCACCACCACGAGCGCTTTGGCCTGCGCGTTTGCCTGCCATCCCATCTGCGAAGGCGGACATTACAGGTACATAAGAAATACTGTGCACACATTATCTTATTGGCTGGAAGTTGCTAGGGGGGCGGGGGCAGAGTGTGAGAGCATCGTACGCCCAGCGCCACCTCCCTGAAGCGAGGCGTACTGGGAATGCCTATCCCACAGCAGACATGCCGCTATCACTGCGCATAATGCCACCAACACGCTGACCAGCAGCAAGAGGTGGGGGAAACGAGGGGGGGAGAGAGAGAGCTGCAGCTATCACTGAGCCCCATGCCACACATTGTTTAACACTAAAACAATCTCACCTTCAGCAGCTTGGGTGTGGGCATCCCACGCGTTCGACGGACCGGTACGTCTACCGTCGATGGGCTTTCTGGCGCCACGCCTGGATCGAGGCCCCCTGCAGATGGGCCGCTCGACAGAGACGCTAGAGGAGGAGGCCTAGATGGAGGGGTGCAGGGCTTGACAGGTCCTTTTGATCCTGGCCTTGCCTTGAGTGCCGCGATTTCGCGATCCCGCTGGGCAAGCTCTCGCATGAGCTGCTCCACAGTTCTGCCGCCAGCCACATCCGGCCGACTGGATGCGCCAGGTGTACCCATGCTCTCTCCCCTCCCCTCCTTAGTCGCCGGATCCATTTTCGCGTCTCCTCCTTCTCCCCTGCTCTCCCGTACATCCCAAATGGAGCCTTCCACACCGCCGCCACATTCACCCAAGGCATTCGCCCACACACCTCCTCCCACACCGTCATTCGCTGCTGCAGCGGCCGAGGGTTCGTGCCGCTTCGTTGCCCCCTCGATTTTCACATGAACCGCGTGACCCCCCGTATGCTTGGGGGGCGGGTCCGTCGCTTCCCTGCCAAACCGCGCTGACCCCCAAGCCATCGGATCTCCCTTCCCAGCCGAACCCATCGGCTCGCGTAACGCAGCGTACGGGTCCGCGGCTTGCCGATCATGAGAGCTTGATGGACATCGTAGCCCCATGGACTCGTAAAAATTCAACTCCCGCTTCGCCTTGCTACGCACACCCACAATTTTAGCTTCGAATCGAGGTCTCTGGCGCTTGCCATGTGGTTTGACACGACGCACACTCTGTTTACAGCTCTTCACCCGTCCCCTCTCCGATTTTCGCTTTCCGTTGCCCTTCTTGAGCTTCCGCACACTCCTCCTCTTCAAAGGCCGAGCCTCCTCCCCATCCTCGCTCTCCGGCTCCAACTCCTCATCCTCCTCGTCCTCCTCCTCCTCATCCTCGTCCTCGTATACCTCCTCACTCCCGGATGAGCTGCCCGACTCACTGTCGCTCGAATCTTCCTCGGAACCAGACGAGCTCGAAACGAGCACATTGGGGCCGTGCCGAGCTTGTCTCGCCTTACGGTCGCGACTGCCCGGATCCACAGCATTGCGCCGTTTGTACGGAATCACAGCTTCACGTCCATCTTCTTTCCCATCAGCCACCGCTGCTGGCTCGTCCTCATCACGAGCTTCAGGCTCGGCATGATCCCCCTCGTCGCCACCATCCGCATCCTGCGCCTGCCTGCCCGAGGGACCGCCCTTAGCCGCGGCAGCCATGCCGCCGTTGCGCTTTCCGCCACCACGAGCTTCAGGCTCGGCATGATCCCCCTCGTCGCCACCATCCGCATCCTGCGACTGCCTGCCCGAGGGACCGCCCTTAGCCGCGGCAGCCCTGCCGCCGTTGCGCTTTCCGCCACCACGAGCTTCAGGCTCGGCATGATCCCCCTCGTCGCCACCATCCGCATCCTGCGCCTGCCTGCCCGAGGGATCGGCCTTAGCCGCGGCAGCCATGCCGCCGTTGCGATTTCCGCCACCACGTGCTTCCGGCTCGGCATGATCCCCCTCGTCGCCACCATCCGCATCCTGCGCCTGCATGCCCGAGGGACCGCCCTTAGCCGCGGCAGCCCTGCCGCCGTTGCGCTTTCCGCCACCACGAGCTTCAGGCTCGGCATGATCCCCCTCGTCGCCACCATCCGCATCCTGCGCCTGCCTGCCCGAGGGACTGCCCTTAGCCGCGGCAGCCCTGCCGCCGTTGCGCTTTCCGCCACCACGAGCTTCAGGCTCGGCATGTTCCCCCTCGTCGCCACCATCCGCATCCTGCGCCTGCCTGCCCGAGGGACCGCCCTTAGCCGCGGCAGCCCTGCCGCCGTTGCGCTTTCCGCCACCACGAGCTTCAGGCTCGGCATGATCCCCCTCGTCGCCACCATCCGCATCCTGCGCCTGCCTGCCCGAAGGACCGCCCTTAGCCGCGGCAGCCCTGACTCCGTTGCGCTCTCCACCACCACGAGCGCGTTGGCCTGCGCGTTTGCCTGCCGTCCCATCTGCGAAGGCGGACATTACAGGTACATAAGAAATACTGTGCACACATTATCTTATTGGCTGGAAGTTGCTACATGACATGCGGCGTCATTGTAATGAGTAACGTGCAAGTTTTAAACCGTCGATATCACACCCACAGCGTACCTAAGCTGTCAGGTCCCCCGTCCTTGCCCTCCTCGTCGCCTTCAGACGCAGGCGTTTCCTTACGATGTGAACGAGTGCCTCTTTTTCTTGGACGGTGCTTACGCCCCCCCCGGTTGTCTCGCTTGTCTGCTGACGCTGATGTGGAAACACAATTGGAGAGACAATAACCTCCTACAAGTCAGACACGACTGCAAGCATCGTTTAATGCTTCTAGATGCGATAAATTTTCATACAAGTAGAATATTCCGCATCTGCGACCATAAACACGTACCTTTCTGGCCGCCTTTGGGAACGAGATCATCTAAGCGCTTCACGCGCTTATCCCTTGGTTTCGGAGGGGATGATACGCCCTTGTTTGCGTATGGCTCAACATCGCAGTCGCTGTTCGATTCGTCACCGGATGAAGAGACACGTCCTGAATCAACAACATCTCGCGCCGACGACGCATTATTTTTGCGATACTCGTTTACGATCTCGGCCGTCTTATCTGCTGTTACTAACTCCGCAAATTTTTTTTCGTCGGGGGATTTAGACGAATCTGCCAGTACGATCGCCCCATCGGGCCCCTTCATTGTCTGACTACCCATTACGATGTCTACCTTTCCATTCACGCAATACTCTGAGGGGGCGGGTTGTTATACCGTGAGGAACCTGACAGTCAGTCTACGAGCATAAAAAATTGGTTGAGGAGGGAGAGGGACGCGGCAAAGGCTGGGGCCTGGAGCAGACGATCGTCACAGATGGAGGCACGCAAGGGGAGCACGGAAGTGATGAGGGTTTGAGTGTTTCCTGCTATGGTGCACGTTGCGACTGCCAGCTCCCCCTTTTCCGCCAACAACCAATCGCCTGCTGGTTGAGGTGTATAAAGGAAAAAAATGCTGCACTGCCGTGTTAAGTTTCCGTCGGAGCGTGCGTGCTTAATTGAGTATCCGTCCACGAGCGGCAGGGTGCGCTTCTTTTTGTTTAACCGGACAGTCAAATGCGCTAGTGTATCTGGGTTTGCGAGGGTCATAATTATTCTGCCCGGGTTGTCGTACTGTTTACAATGAAATGCCTCGCGTGCCACACAAACCTACACAAGCGTCACGTCAAGAGTCACATAGGGTCTGCGGAGAAACGGCGACGCACGATCGCAGCAAGTCTTACAGCGATGCGACAGGTCGACACGAAGCCGTTGCGGCACGCCTGCGATAAAAAAGGCAGACTCAAAAGTTCCTTGTGTGTGGTTGCGACTGGGTCGCAAATCGGGGAGATTCGCGTACGTGGCATAGCGTGGAGTCGAGCGGAATGGCGCAGGGCGGGGCACGTAATGGCACATTGATTTGCAAAGCCTAAATAGTGTGGTGTACGTACATGATAAAAAATAGAATTAGAGGGTTGTGGAGTCCCCCCAACCCATTTGCATAGTGACAAGTATGCAACATAACAGTAAAACCAAACACCACCTTCACAGAACATGCACATAACGGTCTGTGGTGGAGCAGTCATTCTGATACATCGATTGCTTAGTAAGTATGCATTATTTAATTGCTGCCTGGTCGTTAAGCAACGCGTATGGGCATGTCTGCTCTCATGCCATTTGAGGTGCAAGAATAATAGAGCCAGACACAAACTCCCCGTATGGGGCATGTCTGCTCTCATGCCATACAGGGCAGCCTGTATGCAGTGACCCAAGAGCTTGCTGTGTTGTATGTTCTTGGTTCATGCTGGAACGGAGTTGAGAAACCCCTGCTGTTCTACCCACTAGAGTTGTAGGGACATGCAGGACTGTTTTGCAGCAGCACACTGACCCATCGTGTATTGTTTGTAGACATGTCAAGCAGGACCGGCAGTGACAAACACTTCCCTACAGGTAGTGTTCTCTAGTCATGGAGGACTGGTAGTGACCAACACTCTCCTTTTGGCCACACTTGGTGTCACGTCATGTAAGACTGATTCAAGGCCTCTCCATTGCGCTTTGTGTCATGATTGTTGGCATATCAAGCTGGCAGGACGGATGAACAAACAGTTCCCTATTGCTCTTGTCCTCATTCCCCCATGCTACCCGCTTCGTTGTTCTTCACTCACACACTTATTCCTCCCACGTACCCGCCTCATTCCCTCCTGCATCTCGCCTCATTCCCTCCTGCTTCCCGCCTCATTCCCTACTGCTTCCCGTCCCACTCCCCATAGGTACCCGCCGCTGCAACCCTTCGCACACTGCCTCGTTCCCCCCACACACCCGCCAAAGCCCCTCCAGCTTCCCGCCTCATCCGCCCTCGTTCACCGCCTTCTCCCCCTTTGCTACCCGCCTCATTCCCCCTTGCTACCCTCCCCATTCCCCCTTGCTTCAGGCCTCATTCCCCCTTGCTTCGGGCCTCATACTCCCTTGCTACCCCCCTCATTCCCCTTTGCTTCCCGCCTCATTCCCCCTTGCTACCCACCTCATTCTCCCTTGCTACCCGCTCATTCCCCCTCGCTACCCGCCTCATTCCCCCTCGCTTCCCGCCTCATTCCCCCTCGCTTCCCGCCTCATTCCCCCTTGCTTCCCACCCCATTCTTCACTGCTACCCGCCTCATTCCCCCTTGCTTCCCTCCCCATTCCCCCTTGCTTCAGGCCCCATTCCCCCTTGCTTCGGGCCTCATTCTCCCTTGCTACCCCCCTCATTCCCCTTTGCTTCCCGCCTCATGTCCCCTCGTTACCCGCCTCATTCCCCCTTGCTTCCCGCCTCATTCTCCCTTGCTACCCCCCGCATTCCCCTTGGCTTCCCGCCTCATTCCCCCTTGCTACCCACCTCATTCTCCCTTGCCACCCCCTCATTCCCACTCGCTACCGCCTCATTCCCCCTCGCTTCCCGCCTCATTCCCCTTCGCTTCCCGCCTCATTCCCCCTTGCTACCCACCCCATTCTCCCTTGCTACCCCCTCATTCCCCCTCGCTACCCGCCTCATTCCCCTTCGCTTCCCGCCTCATTCCCCCTTGCTACCCACCCCATTCTCCCTTGCTACCCCCTCATTCCCCCTCGCTACCCGCCTCATTCCCCCTCGCTTCCCGCCTCATTCCCCCTCGCTTCCCGCCTCATTCCCCCTTGCTTCCCACCCCATTCTTCACTGCTACCCGCCTCATTCCCCCTTGCTTCCCTCCCCATTCCCCCTTGCTTCAGGCCCCATTCCCCCTTGCTTCGGGCCTCATTCTCCCTTGCTACCCCCCGCATTCCCCTTGGCTTCCCGCCTCATTCCCCCTTGCTACCCACCTCATTCTCCCTTGCTACCCCCTCATTCCCACTCGCTACCGCCTCATTCCCCCTCGCTTCCCGCCTCATTCCCCCTTGCTTCCCACCCCATTCTTCACTGCTACCCGCCTCATTCCCCCTTGCTTCCCTCCCCATTCCCCCTTGCTTCAGGCCCCATTCCCCCTTGCTTCGGGCCTCATTCTCCCTTGCTACCCCCCTCATTCCCCCTCGCTACCCGCCTCATTCCCTCTCGCTTCCCGCCTCATTCCCCCTTGCTTCCCACCCCATTCTTCACTGCTACCCGCCTCATTCTCCCTTGCTACCCTCCCTATTCTCCATTGCTTCAGGCCTCATTCCCCCATGCTTCGGGCCTCATTCTCCCTTGCTACCCCCCTCATTCCCCTTTGCTTCCCGCCTCATTTCCCCTCGTTACCCGTCTCATTTCCCCTTGCTTCCCGCCTCATTCCCCCATGCTTCCCGCCTCATTCTCGCTTGCTACCCGCCCCATTACCAGCTTTTCACCGCCGCATGCCCCACCTCCAACCTCCAACATTGTTTTTTCCCGAAAATACACAGACCACTTCCTCAAATCGCGACGGTACTGACGGCGCCAATGGAGTGGCGTCCCCACAAGCTCACACGCCGGTAGTTTATGGAAACCATCCTCGACCAACGTGTGCATCACACGCATCGTGAACACACCACAGTCGTTCTCATTTGCCTGCATGGGTATCTGGACAATCACAGGGTGCGTGAGCGCGTGGTGAGGCCCGGGGCGGGAGTGGGGTTTCGGTGTGGAAATCGCGTGCAGGGAAAGAGAGATGCGATTGTTTCAAAGCTCGTACACACAAGGCAACAGCACTCACCGTGACCTGCCTTAGCGGGATGCTCGCCGCCCATGCATCTGCGTCCGAATCAATGATCCATGCACAGCATCTTATCACCTCGTTTCGTAAGTACCTGCACACCGGGAGACATTGATTCAATGCTATCGTAACCCCGAACTTCTGTACGTGACAATAGCAGACTGCCGTTAAAGAGAGAGTACCTGCGCAACGGGGCGTCGACACCGGCATGCGTACCGTACGAGTCAGCGTGCCAGAGCACGCAGTTCGTGGGAATCGGGTCGTCGGGTCTCGGGATGAGCTCGATCACGATCAGGCTCCAGTGACTCCTAAGGCACACATGAGGTCTATCATCAGTAACTCCGACGTTGGACTACCGAAATACATATGGTGCTACGGCTAGACGCGACGAGTACTCACTCGGTATTTATCGGAACGAGTACATATGTGAAATCGAAAATACCCAATCCGAAAGTATAGGCGTTTTCACGCCGCGAAATGTCCTTCTTAGCATATTCCCAGAAATATGATCCACAGTAAAGCCATTTGTTGCGGTTGAGACCGTGTTCGTACTGCAGCATTCTGCGCATGCGCATATTTACGCCAAAAGAAACGCATGAGATAACCGTGACGAATCGGGCCTTATGATTTCCTAACCATGATACTCACACACCGAGCCAATCAATTACGATCCCGCTGACCCATTCACCGGGTCGTAGCCTGTTGGCGTGTTCCACGTTTATGTCGAGCCAGCCTCCGCCGTAGGGAAAGGGCATGGAAATCGGCTGAAAGGCCAGCTTACTATCTAAACACGGAAGAGCCATGGCTAGGACATTGACGACCTAAACTTGCGTGCGGCACTTGGGATAATCTGGGAGACGAGCACCAATTTGGAATTTGGGCTTCTGCAGTCACGACACTATGAGTCACGAGCAGCCGCGGAGGTTGTTACACATGTCGTCAATTTTCACTAAAGGGTTTCGAGCCAGCCTGGTCCAAACAAGTTTCGCAATCGCATGAGCGAGAACAATCGAGATTCGCCAGAGGGCCCCCACTTGTCGGGGCTTTGGCAATGGTCAGTCTGGTTCTAAACCTGCTGACTAGGCAGATACAGCCCCCTTTAACGGCGGGTCGGCCAATCAAACACCTCGCTGACGAGGTGGAACTGCTGTTCGGGGCTAGCAATTCCACGCGTCAGGCTATCATGTATGTGCCCTTCTACACGCACTGTGAAAGGGGCATGTTTAGTTAGGTTTTGGCGCGCATAGGTCCTCTCCTCAGTGTTCACACGTTCACGCTCCCATGTTCTGGGCGTACCAGTGGCTGTCCCGTATATGTACGGAACAGTGCTGGAAATCTACGGTCAGTTAGCTAGGACATAATGATCTGGGTTTGCTTGTTTAGGGTTCCGCGTTGTCTGCCTGGCACAAATGTTGCGCGACGCACCGTGATTGGTCGAAACACAGAGGGCTGTCAGAATCAATTTGTGGGGGAGTTGGCGGAAGTTTGGCCAACCAATCATCGATGCAGCCGTAGCTTAGGTTACGAGGGCGTCAACACTGGCAATCAAAAGAGATTCCAACATTGAGATTCAAGGAGTGAAGAATGGTCTGGTAGAAAGGAAAGAGCTGATCTATCGGTTAAGTAGTTCAGGCGTTCTAATCCGTCACTACTAGGTCACTGGTGATGAGACGCCTTTATGCACGCCTAGACAAGCTGAGTACTGCGCGACATTCAAACGCCTTTCCCGCCAACCCATCAGATCCTGAACTCAACGATGGGCAATCTTAGAGCTCCAAGTTGCTATGGGTTATATTTCAGGAGTGGCTATGCTGCCCAGTGTTATGTGCTACTGAGTAGTAACCATGAAAGGCCAGGAGTGTGGCTGTGGATACAGAGCCTTCTGCTATCAGACCCTTAGGAGCCACCAAGTAAATGGCGGGGAAACTTGCAAGCTCAAGCAGAAACGTAAGCTGGTTCTCAAGCAGTCGATTCCGAAACACTCGAGGCTTGGTGGGGCTTCGAATCCTGGCGCCATTTTGAACCTTGCACCGCTTCCTCGTCCGTATCCGCAGCTCCCACTGACAGGAAACGCGTACAGAGTTGTCACGCCATCAGAACCGAGCGAACAAGTGAGGCAGATCGCGGAGGCGCCTTGCGAAGGCTCTGTTGTCGTGGAACCTGATGCTGAAGACGATCCGATTGACTTGAAGGCCGAGATTTGCATTTTGTCACGGAAGCACGGCCTTACGAACGGGGCTATAACGGACCTTATAGACCTGTTCCGAATTCCCAACCTTGATATCGAGCAGTTACAAGGCTGGACGACCTACAGAGACCTTGAGAAGTACGAACGCAGCTTCGAGTTGGGACCGGAGCAGTCTTGGCAAGTGGCGGAGATTAAGGTGGATCATGATGTGGGATACCTCACCTTCAGATTCCGCGATATTAACGTGGTGCGTCCCTCGTGGTTGAATGTGCTCATTGTATGTGTTACTACATGTGTTGCACGGCCCAAGTTATTTGTGCTGCGCCCCATTCCAGTCACATGTGTTAGTCAACAACCCATTGAATGGCTGCGTCCACTACGCACCAATAAAACATTGCCTATCCCACTCTGCAGTTGGCGCAGGCGATGTTCAAGAAGATGTCCGCATTACGTGGATTCATCATCGAGCCGAAGGAGTGGAAGGTGGAGGGTGTAAGACGCTACAGCACTCCCGGCAACACGGATTGGATGCTAAAGGCTTGGGTTAGTGTGCATCCAAAGCTCGATGTCCCTTGCCATTGGTCTCCGTCGCACATTGCTTGTTGTTCGTCGCCAACCACCGTACTTTCCTCTCTTGATATCTCGGATCACCGACATTTGTTCACTGCTGCCGCTCTTTTGCTCGCAGACCTCCCGCCCTTTGCTCGTTGTTCTTGGCCCTTTGCTCTCTAAGCTCCGCCATCTGCCTCCCCTGATTTAGTCCATGTACTCTCTAACCCCCGCCCTCTACCCACTGGTTTTGTCGCTTTTCTTTACAATCTCCGCCCTCTGCTGTCCCATCTCCCCCCGTTTGCTCCATGGTTCAGCCCCTTTTGCTTGTTGACATCCCGCCCTTTGCTCGCTGAACACAACCCTTTGCTCGATGTTCGCCATTGTTTGCTATCCAATCTCCGCCCTCTGCTGTCCGATCTCCCGCCCTTTGCTCTCTGACCTCCTGCCTTATGTTCTCTGATCTCCCACCCTTTGCTCTCTGATCTCCCGCCCTTTCCTCTCTATTCTCAGCCTGAAGCTCCCTAATCTCCCCCTTTTGCCACCCTGAGCTCATGAGCGTTGCTCTATGTCGCTAATCTAGGGCGATATGCTCATCGCCCTTTGCTCGCCTCCCTTTCATCGGTCTGTAACCTTTGACATTCACTTTGGTCCCCGCCCTGTGCTCCCTTTCTTGAGTCCGTGCTCTGTCCCCTTCGCCCTTGTTCACCTAACCATACTCTATGCTCTCACACCTGACAGGACCGCGTCCGTGCCGTCGGTGCGATTGTCTTGGCGATCATTATCTATTCGGATCAAACGAACTTGTCTAACAATGGCAGACAATCAGCACACCCTTTCGTCCTGTCATTCGGTAACACACCGGAATGGGCGCGTTGGTTGGAGGGCGGCACCGAGCTGGTGGGCCTCTTCCCTAACATTCCCTCCGACCTGAAGCCAGAGGAGAAGATTAGGGTGTTCCAACTGGCGGCGGAATACATGCTACAGCCGCTGAAACGCCTTTCCAAGCTCCGCGGGTAAGCTGCCCTTAATCTCAGCTGCTACAATCCTGCGCACATGTCATAGTTTTGTGCATCATACGTGTGTGAAGCCTCCGTGCCATGTATTGCGTGAGGGGTTATTTGGAGTGCATATTTGAATTGCTGCCCCAATCGGTTCGGTAACGAACAACCCCTTTGCACATTGCCCCCATGCTGTCAGTCTGATTGCCTCACCCTAAACCCACCATCATGGCATGGTTCCATATTTGGTTGTGCAGCGGGGGCTTGAAGGTCGAGGACAGCAACGGGGTTGAGTACTTGGCCATCCCGCTGCTGTACTCGGTCGTGAACGACCATCCCGAGTCTAACAAGGTCTCATGCACCATGTCATGCAGCTCCTACCGACCTTGCTCCATCTGCATGGTTACGAGAGAAAATCTTCGGGACGTGGATGACCATATCGTTCCACGCACCGTGCGGGACCAGAAAGCTGTGTATAAGAAAATGGAGGGAGCGGAAACCATGAAGGAATTGACCCGTCTGAAGAAGAAGTATTCGACCCACTTCGTGAAGGTACCAGTTCTTGTTTGCGTACGTTTGTATGGCTCCGTGGTCCCATAGTCCCACCCCTATTCTCCTCCCACCGCACTTGGTTCTAGATTAATTTATCCCCTCCCCACTGCTCCTTCGTGAGTCCCACGCTCACAACACCCATGCCTCCACCCCAACTCACGCCGCCCCTCCATCTTGTGCTAGAGGTGGACTCCTCGCCATGTTCCACCCTTGGACAGGCATGCTCCCACGCCAAGACATGATCCCGCACTCGTTCATCGAATCCTCACACCCCCACCCTATCATTGCGGTCCGTCCAGCTCACCCTCCTACCCTCCCCATACCCCGCCCACCCTAATCCTGGCCCACAATCCCACCCTAGTCGTTCTTGGCCCCCTTTCCTATCCAAATCCCTAAGGCCCCCTTTTTTTCGTTCCGCGTGCCTCCCCTTGCTGCCAGTCATTGCTGTGGGATTGGGAGTTCTCCAAAACCAAGTGGGGCAACACGTACCTCGCCCAAACACCTGACATCATGCACATCATCGAGGCAGGACTCTGGCTTCATGCAATGAGGTGCCTCGTGAAGAAACTGAAAGCCTCCGAACGAAAGAAACTTCTCGAGTAAGTTTCCCGTTTCCCCCAGTTGGGCGAGAGTCATAGGTGCAAGAGAAACGGGCACCGAGGGGGAACCAGATGCAGAGAGAGGGAAAGAGGGGCAGCGAGAGGGAAAGTGGCACTAAGAGAGAGAGAGTGTGGAGCAGAGTGACGAGAAGTCGGGCAGAGAGAGGGAATTAGGGGCAGAGAGATGGAAGGAGGGGCAGCCGGAGGGAAGGAGGGTCGGTGGGGTGGAAGGAGGGGCAGAGATAAGTGAATGCAGGGCAAAGAGAAGGGGGAAAAGGCATAGAGAAGCGAGTTCAGGGCAGAGTGAGAGAAGGCGGAGCGTGAGAGGGAATTAGTCGCAGCGATGGAAGAATGCGTCAAGTAAAGAGGTAGGGAGGAATGCGGGGTGGAGAGAGGGGGAAGTGGTGCAGAAAGAGGGAATTCGGGACAGAGACAGGGAGGGAGTGGCAGAGGGATGAAGGAGGGGCAGCGAGAAGTGATTGCTGGGCATAGAGCACGCAGGAGGGGCAGAGATGGGGTAAGTTTGGGCAGAGAGAAAGGGAGATTGCGGTTGAGAGAGGGCAAGAGGGGTAGTGAGAGGGAAATTGGGGAAGAGACAGGGAAATTGGGGCTGAGAGAGGGGAATTGGGGCAGAGAGAGGGGAATTGGGGCAGAGAGAGGGAAAGTGGGGCAGAGAAAGCGCACGAGGGGCGGAGAGAGGAGAACATGGGGCAGAGCGAGGGAACGAGGGGCAGAGAGAGGAAAGGTGAGGCAAGGATTATGGGAAAGTGGGGCGTAGGACGGAAAGGGATGCACTCGGAGAGAGACAGCGGGGAGATGAGGTGCGATCTGATGCACCTAACTACTAAACCCCCCTGCTCCCCCCACCCCTCCCCCGCACCCCTCCCTTCCCCACTCCACCCGCCTCACACCCCCAAAACCGAAACCCTTATTGCATCCCGTACGTGCAGACGCTACAAGATTATCAAGGATGCGACTCCTGCGTCTCTGCTGCGACTCCCATCCGCATGGGCGTACTTCACCACGACGGCCTGCTTCTCAGCGTCGGAGCACCGTGCCATGATGCAAGTGCTGCCCCTCATCATCGACCTCCCCAAGCGCGCCGATATTCGTCATGCCATCACGATCATGTCGGAATGGTACAAGGAGTTTATCCGGGCAGAGTATCATACTGATGCCACGCTTGAGCGCATGGAGGAGGTCTCCTGCGAGTAAGTATAGTGTGAATGGATGGGGGTGCCTTGCGCTCAGGGAAAGAGGGACAGTAGGATGGCTGAAGGGATCAAGAGAGGGATTTAGGGGCCGTGTGTGTGAAATAGGGGGCTGAGAAAGGGGGATGAAGGGCAAAGATAATGAGAGGGGGGCAAAGTGAGGGAAGCAGGGGCAGAGCGAGGGAAATGAGGGGCCGAGGGAGGGAAAGAGGGGCTGAGAGAGTGAAAGAGGGGCTGAGTGAGGGAAAGAGGGGCTGAGAGAGTGAAAGAGGGGCTGAGAGAGTGAAAGAGGGGCTGAGTGAGGGAAAGAGGGGCTGAGAGAGTGAAAGAGGGGCTGAGAGAGGGAAAGAGGGGCTGAGAGAGTGAAAGAGGGGCTGCGAGAGGGAAAGAGGGGCTGAGAGAGTGAAAGAGGGGCTGCGAGAGGGAAAGAGGGGCTGAGAGAGTGAAAGAGGGGCTGAGAGAGGGAAAGAGGGGCTGAGAGAGTGAAAGAGGGGCTGCGAGAGGGAAAGAGGGGCTGAGAGAGTGAAAGAGGGGCTGAGAGAGTGAAAGAGGGGCTGAGAGAGGGAAAGATGGGCTGAGAGAGTGAAAGAGGGGCTGAGAGAGGAAAAGAGGGGCTGCAAGAGGGAAAGAGGGGCTGAGAGAGTGAAAGAGGGGCTGAGAGAGGGAAAGAGGGGCTGAGAGAGTGAAAGAGGGGCTGCGAGAGGGAAAGAGGGGCTGAGAGAGTGAAAGAGGGGCTGAGAGAGTGAAAGAGGGGCTGAGAGAGGGAAAGATGGGCTGAGAGAGTGAAAGAGGGGCTGAGAGAGGAAAAGAGGGGCTGAGAGAGGGAAAGAGGGGCTGAGGAAGGGAGAGATGCGCTGAGAGAGGGAAAGAGGGGCATAAAGACGAGAGGAGGGGCCCAGAGTGAGGGAATGGAGGGGCAGTTACAGGGAAGGAGGGGACGAGGGAGGGAGGGGGGGGGGAGATGAGAGGAGGGGTGAGGGGATGAGAGAGGGTAGTAACACATGAGAGTGGGGTTGGGGCATTGTATGTTGTTAGTAGTTGAAATGATGGTAATATGTTTAATCACTCTAAACACCTCCCGACCACCCCAATGCCCCAACCCCGTATCTTTCAATCCCCCTGAACACATCCCATTCAGGATGGTCGATGCGCTTGTTCTAGCGTTCGACAACCAGAAGTCGAAGTGGCTTATTATCAAGGTACATCTTGTATCGCACCTGCCACCGACGATCCGTGCACGGGGATTGCCACAGGAGTACTCGTCGAACCGGTACGAGCAGTCCCACAAGACTACAGTGAAGCGCCCTTCCCGTGGCACCAACTGGAAGGGTGTGGAAGATCGCATTGTGAAGAAGCATATCGAGCAAGCCGTTGTTCGACAGCTGTCTCGGGCCTCCGGCGGGGACAAAACCTACGAGACAGCCATGAAGGAGGTGAGCCTGTGTACACATTGAAACCGATCTTGCCCCCCAATTGTCCCCGCAAGCTCCTTCCGCATGCTACCCTCTATAACCTATTGTTTTGGCCTAAACCCTGCCTCTACTCCTGAGCCCCATTGGTCCCTCCTCTCGCTACCCTGAACCATTGGCATTCCGTTATGCACCCCCATGCTCCCACACTTGTTAACTAGTGGACCTTCCTCCAGCTGCCCGCCTTGACATCCCGTTCTGTGTGGACATGCTCCCCATGTCGTCCACCCAAACCCTTCCTCCCGCTACCCCCCTTGACATACCGTTTTGCACCCATATGCTCACCATCTTGTCCACCCATGAACCTACCTCGCGCTGGCCCCCTTGACATCCCGTTCTGCATCCACATGCTCACCATATTCTCCTCCCATCAACCTACCTCCCGCTGCCCCCCTTGACATCCCGTTTTGCATCCACATGCTCACCATCTTGTCCACCCATCAACCTACCACTAGCTGCCACCCTTCAACCCGTTTTGCCACCACATGCTCCCCCACTTATCCACCCATGACCCCCCCCCGGCCCCATCTGTTATCCATCGTTCTGCCCCCCAATGCTCCCCTACTAGTCCACCCCTGAACTTCCGTCCTGCTAAACACGTTGCCCCCTCGTTCTCCCCCCCCTAAACCCATCTGTCCATCCATGACACTTCGTGAACCCTCCTGCCCATTTGTCTTTCCTTCGCCCTCCCTTGATTTCCACTTGTCCACCTATGCTCCCTTTGTCTTGCTGCACCCTTTGACCTCTCGAATTCCCCCACTCTACTCTCCCGTTTGTCCCTAATCCCTCCTCCCTCTCGCTGCTGCCCCCATTGTACTCAAGTGCTGCCCCTTTCCTGCTGCCCCCCATATACACCATGCATCCATCACCCTCCTACCCAGGCTTGCACGCTTGGGCGTCGGGTGTTGACCAAGACACACAAGAAGATGACCGTGGGGCAGATCACGGATGATGTGTTCAGGAGCTATGTCCTTGTTCACGGAGATGAAGCGATGGGCTGCTTGAAGAAGCGGCTGGCCAGGGAGGGAATCCGCGACCAAGTGCTCAATGTGAGAATCAATACAGAGCACAGTGCAATGCAAACTGCCACTGCCAAATAGTCCTCCTAAACGCGGGCAGCATAGTTGTAATGGGCCCAACGCAGGCATGGCATCCTGTTGTATCAACGCACCCGTCCGCACCTTGTCACTAAAAACCCTAACACAACCTTCCATTGTTGTGCTGCGATCCCTGCTTGCCTATTCGCAGGTGCACACTGCCATGGCAATCCCGCCGCACGACAGGATGGAGTTGACCGAGAAGGGGCAGTTTGTCAAAGCAAGCCCTTCTGAAAAGCACTTTTCAGATGTAGCCATAAATCCAGCTGGCAAGGGGGCCAACTGGTATGGCCGCTGCTTGATGCTGTTCCATTACGTGAAAGATGGCGTGGCAAAAAAGGCCGCCTACATCGAGTATTACACGGAGGATCGGCGTGTCTGCCGGTACACTGGCTGCAAACGACTGTTGCCCACGAAGGGCACCTACGACTATGCAGTTGTAGATGCAGACTGCATTCTTAGCATCGTGCATGTTGTCCCGTGCTGCAAAGACTCGGGTGTGAAGCTGCTCAATAGGTTCATCTGGTGATAGGAATAAAATTGCTACTGTGTCGATGACCTATAACCTATTTTGATTGTGAAACGCACTTTTAAGAAACCTTATTATTGTATCAACAATTAACATCTGACAAACAAACCATTGAACCATCGCAAAACCATTACTAAAACATCCGCAAATCATTTGGTCTGTCTAAAATGCTATACAAATGATATACAGACGGTTCCTAGATGATTGTCAAACGATTTTTGGAGACCTGCATTAAAAAAAAAAGGTCAGATGATTTCCAGACGCACACATTTTTGTGATGTAGAACATGTTCGTGCTGAGGGGGAACACCCTAAGTGATCGCCCCCAAAGGCGAACACCATTTTTTTTAAGTGTTTGCGTCAAACCGAACATGTTTGGTTCTCCCCGGGACATTTTCGACCAAGGGCGAGCACGAACATGTTTGTGTTCGCCACTTGCTCAATCCTAGTCATCACAACTCATCGTGCATACTTAGCCCCAGTCTTGCTCGGCTTGCTCAATGTGTTACCACTCAACGAGGTGTGTCATACAGATAAGCGAGCTGACGGAGTGTGAATATGTTGCTCGGAATGGAGCCCGTCAAACTGTTGTTAGAAAGAGACCTGTGTGTGAGTGGTACGGTTGGGGCGGAATAAGTGAGGAGATGAGAATAGTGGGCATGGACTGAACATGACCTAGGCTTGGGCATCTGAAGCGGATGGGTCGGTTAACCCGGCCCGACCTTTCAATAGGCCGGGTCGGGTCTGAACGGTGGCTGCATCTGACCCAGCTGGTCAGGTCGGGTTTACCCGGACAGGTCAGGTCCACCCGCTACCCGTGGGTAGGGTTCAGCACGGGGGCAGGCTGGGCCCGGCCGGGGTCGGGGACATCATCGGTGCCTTGACAGGGTTCCAATGTCGAACACGTGCATGTTCGGCCCGAACATAATGGGCAAAAGAAAAAGACATGATCGGTTCGCCTCAAAATGTTAAAGGTGAACCGAACAGCTGTGCGTCCATCCGTTTGTTCAAGCCTACACTGAGCGACAGCAAGCACACACGGTTGACCCAATTGGGGGATGACACGATCATGGTGGGAGACAGGCATGGTGAAACCCGAATCGCACTTCGGTTCGAGGTAAACGGGTTCATGTTCGACTCTAATTGGTAAACAAAATGTAAAAAATTGTAGTTCTTGTTGAACCAGTGCTGGGAGGGGGAGGGCCACGAAGAGGAGTTGCAGGATATTCAGCCTGGCTGGGCTGGGATCGGTGTGGCCATATGCGTTTTGATCACTCGAAACTCCTTCCTGTCTTGTTTGGTTGTGGCTTTTTATCATGCATGCTTAGCAACAGCCTCAAACAAGGAGATTCATACAGATAAGAGAGCTGAGTAAGCGGGTAAATGCCCCTGATGGATCCCGTCAAAGAGTTGTTTGAAAGAATCCTGTGTGTGCATGGCATGGGGTGGGACGGAATAATTGATGAAATGGGAATACAGGGCATGGTCCGGTCTGAGCGACAGCAGGAAAACACGGTCGACCCAGCTGGGGGGATGAGACGAGCATGCTGGTAGGCAGGGATGATAAAAAAATCGGATCGCAGTTTGGTTGGAGGCAAATGGTTCAAGCCGCACAAGGGATGAGCAAACGGACGAATCTATGTTGGATAATATGCGTATTGCGCTTTGTACGCCATAGTATTTTCGTTAGCATATATACGCGAAACGTTGAGTGAGGGTGGGTCCGGTACGCACCAAATTCGCCTGCCCGGACAGGTAAACGTTTTTCCTGGGCAGGATGTTAAGAGGTGGGTATCGGCAAGGTGCAAACCATCACAATAGGGTCTAACCTAGTGCAAAATTTCTGCGCGGAACTACTGCGTGCACCTCTGCATCTAGGAGAGAGGAAGGTGTCTGAGAAAGTGGAGTTCATGGTGGCAGGAGACCTAGGAGGGACGACTATCGAGTGAACGAAATGTTCATTTAATTGCTGGGTAAGTAGAGTCTGGTTGGTGGAGCCTTTTCCACTCGACAACAAAGTGGAGGGATTTGGGTACGGATGGGGATGAAGAGGGTTGTCAAGCAGTGGATGGGAGGGGATTATGCACTTCGAGTTTGAAGTGCGAATTTAAGGTTGAAATTGTGATGTGCGAGACTCGAAATTGAGTTTGCCAAATCGCAAACTCAATCTCAGATTTTATGGTTTTTTTTCAGTCAGCCCGTGCGCATTACGGAGAATTTCACCGAGTACGCTGAGAAACAGTTTCTGTTGATTATAAAGCACTCGAACACTAACATGTTCGAGTGTTCGAAATGTCCAGGTCAAGATTGAAGTGCAACATCACTGGAAGGGGAGGGGCTCAAGGAGGGGGGCTTCGAGGAGGCTATGGAGGGGGTGTGGACAGGGGGGATGGGGCTGTGGAAGGTGGGGGTGGGTGGTGGGGGGTGCGGGGGGGAGGGGGGAGGGGGGGAGGAGGGGGTGGGGGCGGTGCTACCTGAACCGAACACGGTCGAGTTTGAGTCAAACACATTGCTGTTCAAACCCAAAAACTAAGGTGTTCGACTATACAGTCGAACATTCGACCACCTGTATTGCTTTTATGTTTTGACCCAAACCAAACGCGATCAGTTTGGGTAAGGCAAGCGTTCCTCTGAGTTTGAGACAAACACGTTCTGGTTTAGGTTTTGCTCACCCCTAGCCGCACACCTAGTTTGAAATGTGTGGTTCTCATTGAAACCTGGGCGTAGGCTTGGAGGGGGGGAGCCAGGAAGAGGAGTTGCAATATATTCAGCCTGGCAATTGCGTGGCGTGGCCATATACGTTTCGATTACCTGAAACCCCTTGCTTTCTCCTTGCGTGTGGGATCTAGGTTATGTGACTAAGGGTATTCTTTCGAGGGTTTTAAGGTTCATGCCATCTTTGGTCATGT